CTCTCATAAATTTAGATCTTTTCAGGATCCTTCGACGACTCTGGTCTTAATAGCATTGGAGCTGGATGGCAGGTACTCTTTCTAATTTCAATTCCAACCCTGCTCAGTCCCCTTAAATAATAATAATAATAATAACAATAATAATAACAATAATGATAATAATAATAAGTTGAAGGAAAATAAACTGTCTTTTTAACGAAATTAGAAAGAATATGAAATTACCATTAAAAAATCAGATATAAATTCAATGCCTAAGGTAGATTTTAATGTTACATTGCAATTCTTTTTTATTGTGAACATTCATTTTCATTTGGTTCCTTGAAGAAACCAAACATTCAATGAATTAATTAGATTACATCTTAATACTAGGCTAAACACACTTCATGCTAGGCTCCCTTCTCTAAGAGTAACGCACTTCATGCTAATCATTATTATATTAAAAATATTATGTCATTTCTTCGGGGATCTTTTCGTTTCATTTATATTGGCTAAGGCAATCCACGGCTGAAATGGTTACATCCTATTTGGCAAGTTTAAACAGTAAAATGCATGAGGCAGAAGGAATGCCTAGTAATGTTAATTGTGTTATTATAGAATATTGTCCTAGGGTTGCACTGAACTCTTATCCCATTAAAAATCAGAGAAGGAAGCTTGCTTTTAAAGTGGTTGTTCAAGTGGCTCTTGACTTGCAAGAGGGTCTAATCTCCATGCCTGATCTATGTCATATAAGTTTAATATAATAAACTTTCTTTCTAAGCCTGCGAACTTTTTATTGTTTCCTTTATAGGTTGAGCTATCTCCACGCAAAAAATATTGTACTCGGAGATGCTAAAACAGAAAACATGCTTCTAGACAAGACACAAACCTTGAAAATAGCTGATTTTGGAGTAGCTCGTATTGAGGCTTCCAATCCTCATGACATGACTGGTGAAATTGGAACCCTTGGTTACATGGCTCACGAGGTATACACTTTAATTACTATGAAAATATCTATCTCTTGTGCGTCAATCTTTTGGGCTTTGTTTCGTTCACTCATTAATATATAGTCCTTGCCTCTACTTACATAAGATCTTCAAACTGTTGTCCTATGGTAGTAAGCACTCTTTCTACTTGTTTTTCATACCTTGCTTGTTAAATGTGGCATGCTCTATGGTCTAACTGATTGCGAAAGAACTAGGATAAATATCATGCTCATAAAAATATAGGGAAAATTACCAAAAAAGAATTCTTGGGGAAATATTTCTGATGGGTCTCCAATGAAGGTTTATAAGAGAAAAAAAGGATCGTAATGAAGGGAAGATGGTTCAAGCCCAAATTGAAGGAGGAAACCAGGCCCAAGTTGAAGAAGGAAACACCAACGTGTACAACTGTTGATGGTTTTCTATTTCCCCTTTATTTACAAACGTTCATATGCAATCATGTCTACTGTTGATGCATCATTGTTGGTTGCTTTTTAATGTAATTAGATTCTTTATGGAAATGTAGAAACTAAGGCCAAAATTCGGCGTTGTTGTCCAAGTTCTTTTACTATCTCATTATAATTAGGAGTTTCATGGAGGAAGTTTGAGAAGTATTTGGTTTTATCTGTTCTGATTAAACTAGAGAGTAGAGATCATACAAGATGTGTGCAGTTACATAAATCTTGCTAAAGAAAGCAGCATAATTTATTTTAACCAAAATTAACCTTTTAGTAGAATAAGTTTTGATAAATTTAAAAATCCAACATTTCTAAGTATTAAAGAAAAGGCAAAACAACAAATACATCTAGGTAGACCTTCCTTTTCCACTTAGGCATATACAATTTCCAATGCCGCACTCCCTATGTCTATATCATTTCTTTAATTCCTTGGGTTTGTTTGTTTTCAGCATTTGTCATTCAATTATTTATAGGGCAAAAAGACACAGGCCTACACAATTCAATTCAATTTGAGACTTCAAGGTCCGTTGTAAAAAATCTCACAAAAAAATTAGGTAAATAAGAAGTAACTAAGTATTTGTAGCACATTGAAAATCAAGATAATAGGTTTAATCAGCCAAGATAATGTATGGTAACAGTTTTGATTGCGGTCTACTTGCTTGCATACCAATAGGTGAGACTTTTCAAATATTACTATGTTTTATTCTTGTAAGTAATGAGAATGTTTTACACAAGTGGAAGAAAGACTAATACCATTCTTTTTTGTGTTGTTTTTACCGTTGTGATTTGATAGTAAGTCTTTTAAAAGGTTAGGATGCTTCAAGGGCGATATTCGAAAGGCTGATATAAAAAATAGCGTTGTCATATTTTTAGTAATTTTGTATAGATGACTAATGACAATGACAAACTTTTAATTTTAACTTTATTTGACAATTCCTTTTATAATGTAATAAAAACTTTATTTATATATATGAATTAGAAAATGATGGCATTTGTGAAATTGGTAAAACTTTGTTCCTGGATTTTGAATCATTGCAATTCGTGTGATTTACTTTTTGTACAATTTGTAATAATTTTTTTAAAAACTGATTTCCATTAATTAGCCACGGTTCTATTGTGGCAAAATAAATCTTCTGTTTTGTGATGAAGTAAACAGTTTAGCCACGTCCCAAATGTGCCTAACATAAGAAACCTCGTTGCTAACTAAATGTTAATACACTCATTCCGACCATGGCTAAGTGCAAAAGATGTCGTAGTTATAATAATGCAACGCCCCTTTTTGCCACGGTTTGATAAACAGTGGAAAACTCAATTAGCCACGATTGTTAGCTTCATTTGCTACGTTTTTAACCGTGACTAATCACTGGTTTTTTTGTAGTGTATAACCTTTCTCAACCTTTTATACATTTTTTTGGCTTTAATGTTTTTACAGAGAATGTAGATAAGTTATCTACATTCGCTTCCAAAACACCATTATTTTGGGTTGAAAAATTAAAAAATTATAATGAAAAAGACTATTATAACCCTGAAATAAATTATAATTACAAAAATACTTTGATTTCAACCTCAAAACGACGTCGTTTTGACTCAGTATAGATAAATTATCTAAATTAACGGTAAAAAAAGTGAAACTTTATTTTTAAGGAGAGAATAGTTGTATTACTATTTTTAAATTTGACAAAAATTCACAATAGATGGCCTCTAAGTTGGGCCTTAGATGTTCCTTAGGTGTTCCTAATAAAGCCCAAGAGGGAGATGAATATAGAAAACGGGCCATTATAATAAATTCACATAGATAGAAATAGAGCCCGCTATTCTCTTTGCCTAGGGGTGTAAATGGGCTCGGCTGGCCCAGCCCAGCCTATGACCCGACCTACATTGAGCCCAGCCCAGGCCCGGCTTTTCAGTAAAGTAGAGTAGGCTTAGACTTATAAAAAAACTTTTTTAATAAATAGGCCATAGGTCAATTTTATCAAGCCCGGCCTACAGCCTTGTAGGCTGGCCTATTTAATTTATTAAAATAAAATAATAAAATAATATTTATTTTATGTGGCAAAGACACAAAGTACCAAATACCAATATCTCTAACTTTTTGTGCTATTTTATTTTATGAAAGGAAAACTTGTCTAATGTCTCCAAATTTTACATGCTGTTGCAACTTAATACCATGGAGCAATGGGTACCTTGCTGGATTATGATGTTACTGATGAAGATCTTTCAATAATACTTTTCTTTCCCTTGTCTTGACGGTGGTTTAAAGATTTTTAGATGAATGACATTCTCTTGTAGACTTTATTTCAGAATCCAGTAATTGTATTTTTCTTATTTTTCCCATTTCTTTGACTCTATTCCTCTATGATATACATTCTAGAGCTGAGGTATTATGTTGACTCTTTCTTGTTTGTCATTTTTTTCTTATGAGAAGTATTAGTGCATGCATGAATGAAACTTTCTTTGCTCTATACAATTATTTTTTTTTGCTTAGTATATATAGTGGGGGGCTTACAAGGCCTGTAGGCCATGTCAGACTTTCTTATTTTTGAAAATGGGCCGGGCTTGGCCTACAAATAAAGCCTTTAATAGGCCAGTAGGCCAGATAGGCTGAATTTTTTTTGACGTAGGCTTGAGCCAGGATGGCCAAAGCCCAGCCCAGCCCATTTCTACCCTTATCTTTGCCTCCAACTTTCTTACTTTTTGTTGTTGTAGGAAACGGTCCAACTTTCTTATTTTGAGATGCTACATTTCTGACATTTTAAAACACGGCAAAATTCACAACTTTGACGAGGAGAAGACCACGGTCAATAAAATCTTTAGATGAACTCTTGTCGGGAGAAAGTACGTGATCTTCTCATTTTGTTTGAGGTCTTCCTAGTCCGACGTATGGGCAACAAATTTTTTTTAAATTAACGTATGGGCAACGATGATTTATATTTTTATTAGTTTTTGACTTTTAGAATTATTAGTTTCGAAACTCTCAAGTGTCAAATTAAAAACGATGATTTATATTTTTATCAAGAAGCCTTTTTATCGGTTGGTAAGTAGTTTATTAACCTTTGGGATGAAAAAAAAAAAAATGGGAGAGCCCCACTTATATGCGGAATGCGATTAAATCGAATTAACTGGGTCATTAATGAACTGATTGAGAAATTAAAAAATAAATAATAACGTGTATATATATATATATGGACTAAGAAACAGCCATGCATGTACGTAGCAGCAAGATCACTAAACTAAATTAACATAAAACTGTTTATAGTAATCCCAGATTTGAGTGTTTTATTCACGTACGTACGCTTCCTCTTAATTTCCAGCTTAAGACCTCACTGTAATTACTAAAGATTTAAACTGATAAACGTAGCTAAACCATGTATGCAGCTCGTGAATATTTAATGGAACTATCAAATAATATTGATGGTCAACAAAGTGAGCATACCCATCCTTAATTTTTGTACTAACATTAGAGAAACAAATTAACCAGCCAAACGAAAAAAAACGTAAAACAGCACACATCAAGCTAGCTTTATGCTATATATATATATATATATATATATATATATATATATATATATATATATATATATGGGTTTTGTATCTATAATTTAACATGACCACAACAACTTTCCTACACACACAACATTTTGTGGGACCCACAATTTTTGAAACCAAAAAAAAAAAAAAAAAAAAAAAACTCTAGCACGCAAAACGAATCTCTATAACATAACACAATCACTTTTACTACAACATAACTCTTATTAAACCCTATATATATATATATATATATATATATATATACTTGTCCTTATTAATTATAACCCTAAACCCTTATTAGATCAGGTCAGGCCATGGACCAAGTAACACTCTCTTCGCCAGAATTCAACCCTAGCGCATCCCACACGGCTTGGGACCCATCCACGATGTTGTTCCGGCACGGTCCCTGATAGGCGTGCTCCGAGTCACACCCATTCAGTGAGTCACACTCGTCCACCACCATCGCCTCCACACTCTTCCCGCTCGTAGCCGAGGTGATCGTAATCATTTGGCCACACCTTGATCCTTTGTTGTACCACCCAGTGGATAGCGCCACCACTTTCTCGGAGTTGCTATGGAACTTCTCGTCGCACTCAGAGGGAGCCCCTCCGTCACCACCTTCGCTGAAATCGTTGAGAGTGAGGATTGCTTGCGTGGAGGACAAAACTTGCGGGGAGCAAGTGAATTGAGAGAAGGATTTTCCGTCGTCGCAGTTCAGAGTGCCAGAGGACTTGCAGTCTCCGCCACTCGCTGACGGCATGTCGCCGCCGCTGCAGATTTGGGTGCCAACATCGGGGTCGTCGTTGCAATTGCCGTTGATACAAATGAGTTGGCCATCGCAATCGTTAGAAGTGCTGCATGCTCCATTGCATGAGGAGAGTGCGTTTGTGAGGAAAGGAAGGTTTATGACATTGAAAAGGAAAATGGAAGCGGATAGAAACACAAGACGACTTGTCGTGTGAGCAGCCATTGAGATATTATGATCCTAAGTAGCACATAACAATCGAACTATTGACCGTTTAAATAAGAATGCACCAATATGTAGGGCCTTTCACTTGTGATTAAACAAATTGTCTTTAACATGGATGGAATGAAGGGGGACGACTTGAGGTCAACCCCAATGTCGTGAGTCGTGACTTCGGCAATCACCAAGAAAATCCTAACTAGAATCCAAATACCAAATGCACCAATTAGTTTGTGGCTCCCATAGTCCCACTGAGGTGAACCGTTCATACTTTGGATTCTATTATGATTCCAATATCACTTCTATAGTTCTATGCCCCGAATTGCACGCCTCATATTCAACTAGAGTATATTATACTCCCATAGTCCCACTGCGGTGAACCGTTCATACTTTGGATTCTATTATGATTCCAATATCACTTCTATAGTTATATGCCCCGAATTGCACGCCTCATATTCAACTAGAGTATATTATACGCTGCTATTATATATATATATATAAGGGTAAACATTTCTGCAGCCACTTTAGATAAGCTTATCTACAACTATTTCTTATAACTATATTCTTTCGGGAGAACATAGTTATAACATTAAAAGTTGCTTTTTATTCTCTCTCATCATTTACTTTTCAGAACATGTCTGCTGACGTAAAGAGAGAGAGAAAAAAAAAGCAACTTTAATGTTGTAAATATGTTCTCTCGGGAGAACATAGTTATAAATGGGTAGTTGTAGATAAGTTTATCTAAAGTGGCTGTAGAAATACTTTTTCCATATATATATATAGAGGTAGGATCCTTTGACACCAGTGTCAAATTTCAAATTTGACACTTCATCTGAGAGCCATTAGATCAAAAAAGATCAACGACTCTGATTTGTAAGCATGTGACACCATTGATCTTTTTTGATCTGATGGCTCTCAGATGAAGTGTCAAATTTGAAAATTTGACACTGGTGTCAAAGGATCCTACCTCATATATATATATATATATATGGGTTCGCTTTTTCTGTAATTACTGCATATAAGTTATCTGCAGTAAGCCCAATACGACGTCGTTTTGGGCGGAAATCATGGTATTTTTGTAATTTTAATTTATTTCAGGGTTATAATAGTATTTATATTTATAATTTTTTAAGATTTCAATACCAAAACGACGTCGTTTTGAGAATAAATACAGATAACTTATATGCATTAACTGCAGAAATATTTTTTCCTATATATATATATATATATATATATATATATATATATATATACATGTGCCTTTTATTTATTTATTTTTTAACACATGATGAGACCCACCATGTATTGGGTCAATGACATGAGAGGAATATCTCTTATAACATGAGATTAGATGCTCCCTATATATATAAATTTCTTGGTGATTATATATAAATTTATAATTTATATTAAAAAATTATAAACATACTCAAATAGTTAAAAAATAATAATATAAATTCTAAATATTTGAATATAAAAAAAATTTATACATTATTGTCCAATAAATGATCAAACAAACATATAATATTTACGATATTTGTGTTTTAGGTTCATTAAACGACATCTTTGGCTATAAATCAAATCAAATTTCTCTGCATAGTACATAACTGTGATAATATTAGTATCGTAGGTACATAACTTATGTAAGTCAATAAGTAACAGATCACTGAAAAATGTAAATTATGAATTTTTTTTTGAATTTTTTTTTTGGAAATATTTTTTAAACAAGTTGTCTTTAACATGGATGGAATGAAGGGGAGGGCAATCAATGGTTGAGATATGGAGTAAGACTTGTAAGTCTTACTCTAGAGTCAAAAGATTCATCCCCTATATATATATATACACACACACACGTGCCTTTTATTTATTTAGTTTTTAACACATGATGAGACCCATCATGTATTGGGTCTATGACATGAGAGGAATATCTCCTATAACATGAGATTAGATGCTCCCTATATATATAAATTTCTTGGTGATTATATATAAATTTATAATTTATATTAAAAAATTATAAACATACTCAAATAGCTAAAAAATTAATATAAATTCTAAATATTTGAATATAAAAAATAATAAATTATACATTATTGTCCAATAAAGGATCAAACAAACATATAATATTTACGATATTTGTGTTTTAGGTTCATTAAACGACATCTTTGGCTATAAATCAAATCAAAATTCTCTGCATAGTACATAACTGAGATAATATTAGTATCGTAGGTACATAACTTATGTAAGTCAATAAGTAACAAATCACTAAAAAATGTCAATTATGAATTTTTTTTTTGAATTTTTTTTTGGAAATATTAAAAAAAAAAAACCTGTGCCAGGTCACTAGTTTTCACCAAAATCGGCCGGGTTGACCGGGTCTGGTACTTGGCCGATTCAATGTGATAACCGGATCAGCCGGTCAGATAGCTGGTTCACCGGGTTCTGGGTTGACTTAACCGATTCGATCCGATTTTTACAACATTGGTACGTATATGCAAATGGCAATAGAAGAGGTTTTTTATTTGACGCGATTCAAGTTTTAGCTTTAGTTCTTCACATCAAAACATGCACATTATATTACTTTTTTGAAACGTATTTTACGTGCATGGTGGAATTAACTTTTTTTTATATCTTATGAATGCTTATAATGTACATGTTCCTATATCCAAAAGTTGAAAGGGGATTGGATCAAGTGGCACAAATTTGATTTTGCTTAAGTGTAAGGTCTTCGGTTCAAGTTCTCGTGCGTGAGAGCTAGTCCGATCATGATATAAATGTTTCCGTCTCGAACATGAATATTACATGAATATTGTCTTCGCTCAAGGATACTGGTGGTTTATAAAAAGAAGAATAAATTTGATCCTTTATAAAAAGAAGAATAAATTTGATCCAAAGTTTAGCAATTCAACAATTCCCTCGTAGAGTTATTCCCCCCCCCCCCCCCCCCCTCCCTGTTTTCTTTCCCATTACTTCAATTAAATATTTATTACATAGAAACAAAAAAATCTCTCGTAAGTAGTAATAACTTTCCCTTAGGTGATGATTTTTGTGCTGAATTTTTCGCTTTTTTTTTTAGTTTAATTTTTCGCTTTTAATTAAATGGCGATATAATCTTTCCTTCATTATAATATTTATAATTATTTAATCAACAAATTCATTTTCCTATGTTTTTCAATCAAAGCAGACCGCTTCAGTATGATATACAAAATTATTAATGTAACATTCCCTTGCAGTCTAAACTCTTAGTAAATTGGTTTTTTTATATGATTATATCTATCAAAGCTACACTTTTAACAGTTTTGATTTTTAGATTGAATTAACATTTTTCAGCATCACTTCGTGTATTTGCAAAACTCGTTTGGGATGCGGGATGGCCCATGGCCTCGAGCAGATTTTGAAAATCAATATCAACACGTACGTAAACTCCTGTGCATATCGCTAGCTATCAAACGTTTTTGTCCTTTGATGGTTGCTAATTAATTGCACAAGCTAGGTACTTGCTTCAGTTCAAGTTGGCTTTCTTCATTTTACTCCTCCGAGTCCTTTCCTCTCGCCATGATTTCGACACATTCATATCTGTTTTTGTTTTTGTTTTCTTATTCAGATGTGAATTATAACGTAGCGAATTTTTGTATTAACTTAACCTTTATAAATCGAATAAATTGTGTTAACCATATACTGATATATTATTAGTTTATATTAAAAAATTATATGAATATAGAGTAAATACTTTGCTCTTAATATTATGAATTGTCAATTTATCTTGTGCAAGTCTATGTAGTACCGATACTGACACGGGACACATGACACTCCGACACGACACTCCGACACGTTAATTCTAGAAAATGTTAGATTTCGACACGTTATGACACGTTTTGATATTAAATAATATTTTTAATTTATGTAGTGTATATTATATTTAATATTCAATAATTTAACAAAAAAATGAAACTAAACTTATAATATTCATCAATTTTGCAAAGAAACATAAGATATCTCAAATATTTATATTAAACTCAATAAAATAGTAATTGTAATCCAACGAATCCAATAGTTGAAACTAAAAACTCAACACAATGAAACCTTTGAACCTTTTTTTGAATTTCTATAACGCGTGTTGAAGTGTCGGGGAGTGTCCGAGTGTTGGAGAGTGTCGGACACGACACATCAGGATTTTTGAAGTGTCGGTGCTTCATAGGTGCAAGTTATGTCTACATAAGCATTTCTCGTAGTGAACTTTTAGTAACTGTTCTGTTTTGGAGACAGAGATGTTCAGCCCAATAGACTGGTATGTTGATCTTGGATCTAGTTCTAGTGCCCTTTTCAAGGTATTTATGAAGAAGATACCCTTGGGTCAAGCAGATCACTGTGCACAACGAACTAATAACGACTTTTGCCAATGGGGTGTGTCTTTAAGGTTTACCTTTTAATTATAGAAGTTACCTGTGGTTAATATGATGTATACTATCCATAATTATACTTGATTTAAATATTGGATTGTTCCTTATTGATCCTGTCATTCAATGAGCCCCTTATACGGGCACTAACCAACTACGTAGCATCGATACTGACACGGGACACGTGACACGATACGACACGACACTCTGACACGTTAATTCTAAAAATTGTTAGATTTCGACACGTTAGGACACGTTTTGATATTAAATAATATTTTTAATTTATGTAGTATATATTATATTTAATATTCAACAATTTAACAAAAAAATGAATCTAAACTTATAATATTCATAAATTTTGCAAAGAAACATAAGATATCCTCAATATTTATATTAAACTCAATAAAATGGTAATTGTAATCCAACAAATCTAATAAAAACTCAACGCAACGTAACCTTTGAACCTTTTTTGAATTTCTATAACGCGTGTTGCAGTATCGGGGAGTGTCGGAGTGTCCGAGAGTGTCGGACACGACACGTCAAAATTTTTGAAGTGTCGGTGCTTCATAGCTAACCAATATTAATTGAGGTAGCCTAACAAGCCGATTAGTGGATCATGGTTTAAAAATTGTCATTCTTCAGTTACTGTACTCCACTCCCACCCAATAATGC